TCAAACTGAACAGAGGTTGTTGCTGCATGCCATTTGATGGCTCTGTTGATGACACCTTCCATCACTTTACTGATGGAGTGTAGAGATGGGAGATATAGATTTGATTTGTGAACAGGATGTACTTGGGCAATTATCTACATTGTTTGTGTAAAAGCAACATCTACGTTACAAAAAAGGTAGAGCTTTAAGTTTGTCTGAATATGTACTCATCCAGGCCAGCAGAAGCATATTCATCATTCACATTATGCAAATCAGGAAGACCTCTTGCCACATTAAAACTAAATTCTCTCATAGTCTTTTAACTACATTATTGATGTGGCTGATTCTATTACACTTCTGGTCAATGGTGACCACAGTTGGTTATTTCCAGCCATCAAAATGTCAATGTAAAGTCAAGATGTTATGGCTCTCTTGTGGAAGATGGTACCATTAATACCCATGTAACATTACTGGTTACTTGACAATACCCAGATTTGAGTATTGTCTAAGTCTTGCAATACGCAAGGACAGACTGTTTCGATATCTAAGGAATTACAAACAGAACTGACACATTGTCTCCATAATAAGTGGAGATGTTTGCTGATGGATGTAATGTTTTGACGTAACAGCTGAAGTCAGCTGAGGCTAGGATACTGCGCTGAGAAATGCCTATAAAAACAAACAAGGGAAGGGAGATAATAATCTGGCATGTAAGCAAAAGGGTCATAGAAGAGTTGAGTAGGCACAATCTACAGCTGAAAACAAATGCTGGAGGTTACAGCAGGTCAGGCAGCATCCACGGAGAGACAGCAAGCTAACGTGGAGTCTAGATGACCCTTCAGAGCTGAAGTGAAGTGAAGTGTGGGTGGGGCAGCATTTATACTATAGCTGGAGGGTGCGGGGGTGGGGGTGGTTGGGTATAGAGTGCTGGGGGAGAAAAGATGTTGATATTTCAGATTCAGTGATTGGAATGTGAGAATGGCAGAACAATGGGGTGTCTAACTGCCAAACTGGAAAGACTTCCATCCTGCCACTCCAGTGGGACTGAGAGAGGACATGGTGACAAAGAACGCAAGTAAAGGCAAAAGAAAGGGAAGAAATGGGAGTTGGTTCACAATTTGAAGGTGTTGAACACAGTATCAAGTCCAGAAGGCTGTAAAGTGCCTAGTCTGAAGAGGAGATGTTGTTCCTCCAGGTTTGCGCCGTGATTCACTGGAGCACTGTGGCATACCAAGGACAAACAAACGGGCATGCCAGCAGGACGCTGTGTTAAAACAACCAGCTACGGGAAGGCCGGAATCATGCATGCGCACAGACCGGAGGTGTTCTGCAAAGCAGTCACCCAGTCTGCGTTTGTACAGTAGACCACATTAGGCATAGCAAATACAATACACAAGATTGGAGGTGGTACAGGTGAAAGGCTGCTTCACCTGGAAGGACTTTAGGCCTTTGGATGGTGAGCAGGGAGGTGGTGAAGGGCAGGTGTTATACCCTGTGGTTAGATAAGAAGGCACCATGGGAAATTGAGGGGGGTGGTGGTGTTAGTGGTTGATGAATTGACTAGAGTGTCCCAGAGGGAATGACCTCTAAGAAATGCAGATGAGGGAAGGGAAGGAAAGGGAAAATGTGTTTGATGTTGGCAATCTGGAGTTGTCTGAATGGCGGAGAATGATCCTTTGAATACAGCGGATGATTGGATGAAAAATGAGGACAAGGGGTACCTGATCACACTGTTGAGCGATGGGAAGGGGCACAGGTGATAGGTCAGATGCTGCTGAGGGCCCTGTCAACCACAGTGGGTGGGAAACAACAGTTATGCAAGAAGCAAGCCACATCAGCACTGTTTTGGAAGGTGGCATCATCCGAACAGATGTGCCATAGGTGAAGGAACTGCTTCTGATTAGAAGATATTTGCAACATAGAGTTCAGCTCAGCAACAAGCTTCACATTTCTTTCAAAAAGTTTTGCATTCAAATACCTACCTTTCATTTTGGAGTGAGTCTTCAGTAGAGGGTCAAGACAAACAGCACTAGGCCACCAAGGACGTCTACTAAATTTCACCCATACCAAATCTCCAACCTCAAATTTCACTGGAATCACCTTCTTCCGCCTTCCAGCGCACTGAAATCAAAATTACTTAAATCAGAATAATGTCTCATGTATATTGTTTCTCATAAAATTCTCAAAAGTTTTGAAGTATAAATCAGGGACAAGCAGTCAAGTTATTTCAATCAAAACCCAAATACAACTTCATATTGCAAGGTGCCTTTATTATAACCAAGGGGAAGTGGTGCATTATAGAAAGAAATATTGAAATAACAACTGAGCTTTTACACCCGACTTGCATTATCAGTTGTTTATGAAAAAATTACACAAACATGTCTAAGGATGCAAATGATGCCTCATTGTTTAACATTTCAATGATAATGGAAAATAAAATTCAAAGTGTGTTTAAATCTCTGGAAAGAAGTTCACAAAAATTAGGCAATTGCATCCTTGACCAAAAGATATCTTTGGTGCAATGACAATTTATTCTCAAACATCCGTGTTGACAATAACAGTCATCATCCCCTTTACTATGCTTCTGAAAAGAGCATCAACTTTTTTTGTTTAAAAGCAAAAAGTAAAACTGCACATTTTATGTACATGGGATAGTTCAAAAATGGTCAGTGAGTTAATAATTTCAGAAAAATTCTAATTAAATTTGAGCCACAAAAAAGTGGTTTTTAAATTTTGAGATTTGCGAGCAAAGATTCTTCACCCTTTGTTTTTAATACACCAAAAAGATAGATAAATCTGGAAGGGATTTTGAATAGAACGGATTCTGTTTTCCAAACATCTGTAAACAGGTGACATTAGCCTACCGCGGTAATTAGTAAATAGCTTAGTTAGGAAGTCTGCAGGCCTGGGTAACTGATTTAAATTGTCCGGCAGACTTTCCGCTCTAATTAATATGGAAGGCAAAAACAGGTTTAGAAATATAACACTCCCTAATAGCCATGCTAATAAATAGCTGTAAAATTAGTCAGGTTTTTAACCCAAAAGATACAAGAGTAAACTTCAGCAATACTAACAATGTAGAAGAACTCCTGGTAGTTATTTTATTTAAGCCAAGGTTACTTTATTTTGTACTGCAGGTAAGCAAGTTGCACTGACTGAAAAGCAAGTCTATTCATAAATGCTGAACCCAGTGCAGATAAACGTGCTTGACAAATCACATCTAGCATGACTTAACAGGACATTCCTCGGTCTGCCTTCAAACAAATCAGAGAGCTATGCATACGGTTCACCTCATAATAGGGTACTATTATTACACTTTTGAGCAAAGCTACTGCATTGCGTGAGTCGTTCTGCCATGAAAATGGTGTAGGACACTCATGAGAAAGCTAATGTCATGTGTTCAGGAAAGCATCTCCAACCGACCCAAATTTGTAATAGCATTTTACAAATGCAAATCAAGTTACTTCCTTTCTTGGAGAGGAATAGCAGCATAATACAGCACCCAAAAACTCTACACAGCAGCAAAAATTGTCCAAGAGGGAACTTGGCAGCTGTGGATTAAATGTTAGGAGCGATGACCATAAACAAGTTACGGTCTATAATGCCAGTGCCTGAAAAGGTAATAGAAGCAGGTTCAATTGTAACAAGTGGCAGCGCTCGCGATTTGGAGTCAGACGGTTGCAGAATCAAGTTCCTCTCCAGAGGTTTCAGCACATAATTCAAGACTGACACTTCACTGCAGTACTAGGACAGCACTATACTATCAGATGATACATTGAACCTATGAGATGAATGAAAAAGATTCTATGACACTATTTGAAGTGCAGAATAGGTTTCCCAGTCCCTTAACCAATTTTTAGCCCTCAGTCAACACCCACCAACAGATATGTTCCTATATTCCATCGCTGTTTATGGCAGCTTGCCTTGCATGTTAACAGTTGCAGTAACTACTGTTTTAAAAGTACTTTTAAAACAGTAGTCATTAGCATGATGGGCTGGATGACTTTCTTCTCTGCTACATAATGAGACAAAAAAAGGAATTAAGTTTGTGGAGACATTTGAAGTAGAAGATTGATGTCTCTTAATTTTGCATTCT